ATGAATTTTTTGTTCATTAGAACTATGATTTGTGATTGAATGTATATAGGCTTTGTTTTCAGTTTTTTGTTAGTTATGAAATTAAATTTAAGATTATATGAAAATTAATTTACTGTTGGGCATTGTATGAATTTGTTGAAAATTTGCTTGCTTCCCTTGTTGTGGTAATGGTGATTAATTTTGTTGTTGAATAACTTGATTAGATATGATTGAGTTATATTGAATTTATAGGGCAAAATTTTTGTATTAATTGTTGCTATCGATAATTTGATTGGGTATAAATATTATATGAGAACTTGTGAATGAGAAAATTTTTGAATAAAGAGAGGGTTCAAAACCTGAAAACTCTTTTTTTTAAGCTATTATGCTGCCAAATTTTTTGGGATAAAATTTTTATATCAATTATTGTTGGGTAACTTGATTGAGTATAATTAAGTTATATAAGAACTTAAGTGATGAAATTTTTTATTTAAGTTGATTAATTGTGTTCGTTTAAGTTGATTAATGTTTGAATTAATTGTGTTCTTTTTATTTAAGTTGATTAATGTTTGAATTAATTATGTGAATTTTGTTTAAGTTATTTAATGTTTGATTTAATTGTCTTCCTTTACAGATAAATGGCTTCTGATAGCGAGTCTATTGATACCCCTCCATTAATTCTAGCTACAAATTTGACTGTGGTTTTAAGTACACAGAAAAAGCTAGAGTAGGAATACAATAACATTCAATAGGGCCTAATAATAATGGAAGAGGTGACAAAAACAAAAGTTGCAGGAAAAAAAATTGATGTGCAATGGAACAAGAAAGGGCAAGCAATTAAATCCTCAAAATTCATAAGTTATATTGGGGTGGTGACAAAGACTACTGTGTCTATCATGGTAAAATCATGGCGCAAAGTAGATGAGACCACAAAGGCTCTTATTTGGGATATTGTAGCAGTAAGTTACATTTTACTAAGTATATTTTGGTATAAACTATTTTTAAAATTAATGCATCTGATATGTTGTTTATTTTATTTTGCAATCAGGATTTGACATTGATGAGAGTAGGCAAGATTTTGTCCTACAAAAGGCTGGGAGGACACTACGGTCTTTCAGATATTTCATCATACAAAAATATTTGAAAGATCCTGATGCTGAATTTGTAGCTCGAGTTTCTCCCTTATTATAGCCTTTGGTAAAACAAGAGGATTGGGATGCTTTTGTTGCCTCACGGCATGAGAAAGAATTTAAGGTATTAATGTTTCTTAAATTTTAAGTTTGGTGTTATTTATTGATTATATGTGTATGTACTAACAAAAATTTTTGTTATTAACTTGTCAAGGAATTAAGTATACAAAATAAGGAGAGAGTAGTGAATAACGAATATCCTTATAGAGCAGGGAGGTTGGGGTAAGCAGGCATTGAGTAGAAACAATAAGAGGAGGAGGGATCAGAGGTTAACATATCTCACCATAAGCTCCGGGCATCGACACGTACTAATAAAGAAGGAATTATTGACAACCCCTGCGTGAAGAAGGTTACTGAAAAGATTGTAAGTATTACATTTATCTACTACTTAATAATTAATTATGAATATCCAAACTAATTATATTTACTCTATACAGGGTTCCATCTCTCAGGAAGTCTCACAAGGCAACCTTCATGAGGATAAAGATATCTTGGCTAGGATATTGGGAACTGCTGACCACCCTAGTTGTGTCAGGGGTGTCAGCTTTGGAGTCATGAAGAAGCAATATTTTGGCAATATAAAAAAGCGAGCATCAACTTCTTCGTATGAGGGCCAAAAGCTGAGAGAAGAGCAAGCCGTTATAAAGCAACAACTACTAGCCCATGCAGCATTAATTGACACGTTGTTGAAAGGGCAAGTCCTTAGGAGGACTTTAGGTGATATTAGCCTTAATCAGAAAGATAGCTACACAGTCCCCCTCAGAAAAACTACCTGAGATAATATGTTTTATCTTATGAATTTTTCTAATTATTTTTATTTTAAAAATTGATTGTCATTGTTTGTTTAATTAGGGTGAGAACGATTGCAATTGTTTGGCAGATACTCCTGAACATAGAGTGGTTGCAATAGGACGTGTGTACAACATTTTTGGGGACACGATCCATAATCATCCCCTCCTGCCCGACTGTGTTAGAGTTTCTCTACTTGTTGCCATTGACCCCAACTATCCATTGCCTGTTCCTACTGATAAAGCATAGACGGTGGGGGAAGCAGTAGGGAGCTTTGTTATATGGCCTAGCTGCCTTGTAATAGTGGTAACACTAAAGCCGGTAAAGGACCCATTGCCTCCAAAGAAAAAGGTATGGTTTAAACAGTTATTTATAATTTTATAATATAATTATAAATATCTAACTTTTTTGTTATGCAGCTGAGAAGGAAAAGCAAGCTAAAAGGTAAGTCGGGCCATACCAAAGAGTCAACCACAGTTTTGCAATATCCAGCAGCACCGGTGCCAGCTGTAGAATACAAATATCGTGCCTCTCTTAAGACATATGTGATGGCTACGAGGATGGCTCGTCAAGTTACGATTGGGGATATCATTAGTTTTGATGATGGGCTGTATGGAAGATCGGGCTTATTTAAAGTTGTCCGGGATGAAATTTTAAATGAAATTCTCAAGCACGAAATGGCTAGTACTAGTCTGATGAGCTTCTACATGAGGTATTTCTTCGATAATGTTCAGTTAATTACTTAAATTATATATATGTATGTGTGCACGCGCGTGTATTAACCTGATTATTTTTTCACCTAAGCCACATTTATATCTCATTTGTGGTTCCTAGTGGCCTTGAGTCGAGATTCAAGCTAATTAATACCCACGATGTCTCTACCTATAATAGAATTACAAAGGAAGCTCTTAAAGATCAAGTTAGGTAGCTTTTAGATCAATTTAAGGATAGGGGAACAAGTAATGATACTTTATTTCTTGCTCCTTACTGTCAAGGGTAAGCCACTTTCTAACTACTTTTGATACAGGTAAATATTTTTTATATTTACTTATTTGATAATACTTATTATTTCTTATTAAGGGGCACTGGATGCTTATTGTGGTTAACCCTGTTGCTTCAAAAATTTGGTATCTCAATCCTCTTAATGAAGAACCATGTAACAGGCTAGATATGATAGAACTTTTTAATAAATAAGTTGAATTTTTATCAATTGTTATTTTAATATCTATATATATTGAATTTCTAACATTTATTCTTTATTTCCTTCTTAGAGTTGTGGTCTTGTATCGTACTACGACCAACAAGACCTTGTCCCCTAGCTTAAGGGTATTGGACTCTTGTGAGATATGGGTCACAATTAAGGTAAATCTAATAGACTGAGTTTTTAATTAACAAACCATAGCTTTTTAACTATTATTTTATTGATATGTGATTTTTTTTTCACAGTGTCCACTCCAGCCAGATCAGAGCAATGACTGTGGCTATTGCTTGATGAAATTCTTGAAGGACATTATCACCCATGCCCCTACCACATTACCTAAAGAGGTATATATTAAATTTAGTTACACTTAAATTATAAATTTTAACAGCTTTTGTTAGATAGCTATTAACTTGAATTTGTTGTAGCTCTTTGCATACAATACTTCAAGGATGCTTACTGTGTTCGGTATGCAGCTGCACATATGGAGGAAACTCTTGAAGAGGTAGCTCAGGCCATGTTTAACATGTGGATAGCAACAGTGGTTAGGCCTAATTAGTTTATGCATACACATTTATTTATTTTTTTTGATCAATTTTATGTCTGAGGCCAATTAATTTTAAAATTTTAAATTATAAAGTAGGTAAAGTTATAATTTTTTTTTATGACATCAGGTTTAGAGTATAGGTAGATATAAGATAAATTAAAGATATTTGAATTTCAATATAAATAATGATTCAATTGTTTTTTATTGTTGGTTGGCTGATATAAATATATTTGATTGATTTGTATTTACAGGGAGCTGCTTTTTAACTTTTAAAAAAATACATCATAAATACTTAATGATTATTTAGAAAGAAACGTCAAGTATAAATTTACTTGACGGTTATTATAAAATAACTGTTAAGTATTTGGCACACAAAATTTGTGAAAACATATTTGACACTTGTTACAAAATAACCGTCAAATATTACTAAATACTTGATGATTATTTTAAATAACCATCAAGTATATTGTTGTAGTATATGATAATGTTTAAGTGATTACTTGACGGTTATTTTGAAATAACCGTCAAATAATCTCTAAAATATTTGACGGTTTTTAACCGTCAAATAAATATATAGCGCCCCATTATTTGATGGTTAAAAACCGTCAAATAATTTCTAAAAAAATTATCAAGTAAGGGGGTATTTTGTAGTAGTGAAATAATTAATTGAGTCACTCTTATGAATGTTTATTTTTCATAAATATCACCCCCTATTCATTCTTCACTTTTATAAATATACTTATTTTGGAAATCAACAAGTACAAAGTGCTGAAAAACATTAATTATCAAGGACAGACTTGAAAAAAAAAATTGCTTCAATTTGAAACCATCGAAAAACTAACATGTCACTACTTATTTTTTATTATGTATAAGGTAAATAGTTGTGACTTATATATTTGAGACGAGTGATACATATAGTTGAAACTTATGATCAATATAGAAGGGACAATTAAATCAATAAATGAAAGGAAACAGAATATTTGAAATCCTCAGCGAATATATTACAGAGGTTGACTTGAGTGTCGGAGAAATATTCAAGTGAACACGCGCAGAACGCTTTGTCTGGCAGATCTGATCTGCAAACAACGAACTACAATGAAATCAATTTTTTCCAGGAAGACTGAGAGACCTGTTAGTTCTATATAATGCTCTCCCACTTCTCTTCAAAACTCACGAATTAAATGATGATCATTATTTCCTTGTACTATTGGCATTAGATTTGAGTGTTGTGTTTGGCAATTCGTACTCATATCTGTTGATTAGGGTATATATTAGCTATAGATATAGAATTAAACAGAAATAATAATGGCGAGATTATTGGGAACGATTCTGAAGCACCCAGAAGAAATATACCCAATGTTGAAGCTAAGGATGGTGATAAGGAATGCAGAGAAGGTGATTCCCGATCAGCAACCACATTGGGTTTTCTGCCATACAATCCTTCACAAGGTCGCTCGCAGTTTTGCCCTTACCATCCAGCACCTTGATTCCCACCTTCGTCATTCGGTGAGTTCATCATCATCTTCCTCTGTTTTTTCTTCTTAATTTCCTGCATGTGCTGGTTCCACATCCTTCACCATCCATCTCATGCACACACATAACCCTACATACATACCTGATCAGCAAAGCTTTAGATATATATAAGTGCACATCAGTGTACTTCTTTTTTAAACTTCCTGTTTATTATGAGAAAGTCACCTATAACTAATTAAATAGATTAAGCAAAAGCTGTAACTAATTTTTTTTTTGTATGCTTTTTTTCGGGCAGATACTCGTATTTTATTTGGTTCTGAGAGCATTGGACACCGTTGGTACGTTGCCTTCATTTTAGACTTACTCTGTATATGCATGCGTACACACGTATGTATAGTCATGAGAAAATGAAGTTAAGAGATTAAATTGGATTTTTTGAAGTAACTAATTGACATGGTTTTATATAATGTATTTCAAGAATGAGAAATAAATATATGTAATTAATTTGGCATGCAGAGGACGACACGAGTCTTCCTTCAAAAGTGAGAATACCTATTTTGCAAACCTTTTATCGGCGTATAGATGATCCACGCTGGAGCTTTTCCTGTAAGAGTTATAAAATTCCTATATATATGGTTACACAAATCTGCTGCTCATTAATTAATCATAAATTTCAAGATCTTAATACTTACATACATATTGTTTTCACTGATGGAAAGGTGGTACCGAAGACTGTAAGATTCTTATGGAGCAGTTCCATCATGTTCGAACTGCCTTTCTTGAGCTCAACAGAAGGTACATGTAATTAATCATGCATAGTCAAGAATCATAGCCTAAGGGTTTTGGAAATATTTATTTATATGTTTGTAGTTTGGTGGAATAATTATTGGTAATTAATATTGTGCGCGCGCGCGCGCATGCAGTCACCAGGATGTGATTAGAGAAGTTAGCAAACAGATGGGAGCTGGAATGGCAAAATTTATTTGCAAGGAGGTAATTTATATATAGAAAATAATAACAACAGATCGACATTTGCATGATAATATAATATAATGTGTCCGTCATATATATATATATATATATATATATATATTAATTACCTCCTTTGAATATTTATAAGCCTGTACATCTGATCGAAATTAAAGGAAATATGTTTTTTCGAAAAAAAAAAATGCAGATAGAGAGTATAGAAGACCTGAATGAGTACGCTCATTACGTAGCAGGGCTTGTAGGGTTAGGGCTTTCTAAGCTCTTTTATGCTTCTGGGTCAGAGGATTTAGCACCTGAATCCCTTTCCAACTCAATGGGTTTACTCCTTCAGGTATACATACACACGAATTAATTAACCACAGCGTCTCTTTCTTTCTCCCTCTTCCTCTGTGCTTATATCCTTTTTTTTTTTTCCCTCATTGATCATTGTGTCTGTTCCCCGGCAAAATTCAATTCAAATTCCCCATTATATATCGACAGCTTTTAAATACTAATTTAATTTGATTTTTGTGATGGAATTATAAATAGAATGCAAATATCATTCGTGATTATTTGGAAGACATTAATGAGATACCAATGCCACGCACTTTTTGGCCTCGTCAGGTTTGGAGTAAATATGTGGACAGACTCGAGGTATATGACTCTTCCGAAAAAACTTATTCATTTTTTTTTGGTACTTTTAAGAATGTATATAAAAAGATTATATATATATATATATATATTTATGTATTATACATAAATAGATAAAATGATATTTATGCGTAGGACCTGAAAGACGAGAAGAATTCGGAGAAGGCATTGCAATGCTTGAATGAAATGGTCACAAATGCGTTGGTACATGTAGAATATTGCCTCAAATACTTGTCTGCTTTGACAGATCCGGCAATTTTCAGATTTTGTGCTGTTCCACAGGTTTCAAAATCTCTTCTTCTTCTTCTTGATTCTCCTCTTCTGTGTGTTTTTTTTTTCCCCCTTTTTTCATTCTTAATTTTCTGCATATTATTTGTTTTATTTCTTCATGTACTACTAAATTCCATTATATGGGTCCAAATATATCGCGAGTTATTACGAAATGTCACGAAACAATAATGAAAATTTTTAATGTTTCTTTTTGGTTAATCTTTTTCTTTTTCTTTTTAATTACGTAGACTAAACAAAATATTATATGTATGTATGTATGTATATGTATATGTATATGTCTGCATTGACTTTGACTTTATGCTACCACATGCAGGTCGTGGCTATTGGGACCCTAGCTTTATGCTACAATAATATTGATGTTTTCAGAGTTGCTTTGAAATTGAGACGTGGTGCGTAGACTCACTAATTAACTTGTATTTTATTATTCAAGTGCTTTAATTTCTCATATTTCAGAACAGAACTAAAATATGTGGATCCATATTTTCTATGAAGTACATGAGGTAAAGGCACTAGTGGAGAATGAGGATGGACAAATGCACTCCTTATTATTAATATTTTGTACCATCTAAACTAAATAAAAAATATTTAAATTAATAAGAGATAAGATATGAATAACATATTCATATTAAAAATTATATTAATATATTTAATAAAAAATTTTAAAAAATGATAATCAATTTACTTATATTATTACAATTTTAATCATAATATAATTATCATTTTTAAAAAAATATTAATTTTTGGATTAAATTATCTTGCGTCTCTTGATTTCGGGTGGCTGAAGGCGTAGGACATAAAATATATCATGTATAGATGTGCAACTTTTACTAGCTTTTATATATTGTATATGGATATATTATATTCTGATATGCTTTTTTATTTTCATTTTCTTTCCCTTTTTTTTGGGTATAAATTAATAATGCGCGCGGTTAGGTCTCATTGCTAAACTCATCCACCAAACGAGAACAATGTCGGATGTCTACGGCGCTTTTTTAAAGTTCACTTCCATTATGAAAGCTAAGGTGTAATTTTAATTCAAGTTGATTAAATTAAATTAATTTGTCCATTTCTGTCTTTGGATTCAGCCATATATATGTTAATTATATGGAATTGAACTCTTCACTAAAGCAAATTGAAAATGATGAATAGGTTGAGAAGGATGATCCAAACGCCATAACGACGCTTAGCAGGATAGAGGCAATCCAGAAAATTTGCAAGCAGAACTCTAAAACTTCGAATGAACAAAGGTTTTAAAGTCTTTTACTAATTATTTATATTTTTCACTATTATTCTTAGCATTTAGCAAATTATGTTATGTGAACTTTTCTCGTATGTTCTACTTACATTACTAATATATTTCTCCTAACTGCTATTTCAATTTTATTTTTTTTTTGGCGTCAGGGAACACTACAAGGTGAACAAAGAGTTAGGGTATCATTCACCCCAGGTGAGTTTTGTGTATAATTATTTTTGGATTGGATGTCAAATTTTATATTTCTCAAATTAATTGTATTTATGATTGAAATTCGGGCAACACTTGGTTTGGTAACAAAATTGCGTCCAAATTTGCAGGGAGTTGCCATCTATGTTGCCATATGCTTGGCATTTGCATACCTGTATTCCAGCGTGCTCAACTTATACTGTAAGTTAATTCATTCTAACTGGAGAATAAATTTTGATATTAATATATTGATATTAATTTGGCGATCAAAATTGAAAGTTACGAATTAATTTCATTTAATCTTCAATGCAGGATTTGTTGTCTTCTTCTTAGGCCAATCTGTAAGTCCATTCTATGTTAAATTGGACTTGAAGAGTGAAGTTGGATTGGGCTTATAAAAAGTCTTGCTGGAATATCTCCATCATGGAGTTGTATCAATGATCAAGGTTTAGTTATTGACATTGTCATGTAACGTACTTGAATTAAAAAAAGACGACATAGCTATTAGAAGCCAATGTTATCCCTTTTTTTAATCGATGCTAAAGTGATCATACATGTTTTTTTTTTGGTGTATTTTTGTATTGTTTCGGTGATTGAATACAATAATGTATCTTGTGTAATTTCAAGAGCTAGAATTATTATAAATTATCATGCATTTTGCAAAATATACATCATTGGCCCTATCAACTTACGGTACGAACCATTTGTATACTAAGTTATTGAATATCAAAAGAAGAAAAAACCCTCATATACAATACAGAGACCAAAAATCTTTGGAAATAAACTAACCAATGCAAAGTCCGCTATTCCTCTCCTCATAATATAGAAAAATGGAAAATCGATGCCTTGCATTGCAATGCCAGATGTGAATTTGGGAGTACAACACTCAGTATAAATGTGAATTTGGATTTGGTGAGTATAAATTCTCTCATTTTTAATGAGTATTTCGATTATAGTCATTATATTTTATCACTATGTAAAAATTATCAAGATATGTTTTTTTAAAAAGTTTAAAATAATTAATAAGGTCAAAACACTCTTGATCTTTTATAAAAGTTTGAATTTTAATACTTTTTTAATGTTATATGATGAAATCTCTAATAGCCATTTGTTTAATTTGAATGGTTGTTATTGTGTTACCTTAGACATTCATTAACTGAACTCTAACATAGGTACTTAGAACTATTTTATATACAATAAAAAATATAATATTGTCCCTGTTAGACTTATGCTACTTATTGAATTTTAGTCAGTATAACTATTTAGTTACCGGATAGGATTGGTGGATGCACTAGTTATTCTATTAGAAAATTAAATTGAAACAATGTCAAAGTTTTCTTGATATTTTTAAAATTCTTAAAAAAATATAATCATTATCATTAATTTGTGTAATAATAATCAGCAAGTTCTAAAGCCACTTTTTCTATTTATGCGTGTCATGCCAGTCCTTTATATCATTCAAATTTTATCAAATGTTTCTGAAGGGATACAGTCACTTTAGCAAACAACACACAGATGATGAAAATTAGTTAAAAAAATGTTAGTACCTTCCAAACCATGTGTTTATTTTTAAATTTGGAATTTAACATCAAAACGATTGTGTTTTGAGTTTTGACCTTGTTTGAGTTATAGTAGTTTACTATTTTCTCAATTTCAAATATAAAATATTTTTACTTAGTGCACACTTACTGAGAAAAAAAGTTAAGTTTTTTTTTTGGTCTGGTAAAAACAGTTAAGTAAGTAGTTAGAATTCTAAATTTTGTCCAACATTATATTGCCTTTCTTTAATATACCAATAATTAATTATTTGATTCTATTGGAAATCAAGTAATTTTGAATTTTTGATACACTTTTAGGATATTTTGAATAAAAATATATTGATTACTTTTAAAATTTTATAAAAAAAACTTATATTGAAATATAAGATTTTTCAAAAATATTTTATATTAAAAATGGAGGTAATGATATTCTTTCTCTTCTCCACTTCGGTAGCACGTGAAACCAATTGTTGGGTGCACCGAACAGAAGAGGTTTTTTTTTTCCCCCACCTTTTACCTGAAAAAAATAAAAGAGATTGGTGGAAATAAATGAAAGGAGGAGGAGAAGTTGTCACGATCACGACTCTGCAATTTTTGTACCTTAAAGATTTTACATTCTGAAAAATTACAGCTAAAAATTTATGATTGGATACTAAATCATTGGATAACTATTATGAATGCTTTTAGACGTAAAAAAATTACATAAGTGCCTATCTACCTGATCAAGATTGCTAAATTCAAGAGTTTAAGTAAGTTGGGAATGTAAATTTAAATTGCAGATAGAATATACTTTTATTAATAAATAACTTTTAAAAATATATAATTAAATAATTAAAATATAAAATATAATTATAATTTAAATTAAATATATATTATTGAACTTAAATACATCTATATTTATATATTATTATACTTTGAACATAAACATTTAAAAATAGGTTAACTTAGTTTTGATATTTTTTGTTTTTTTATTAATATTAATTTGTGTTTCTTTTAGTTTTATTTTTTATTAAACTGATCCTATCATTTCTATCAATAAAGTTCTATATAGTATATACTTATTTTTCTCAATAAGTTTATGAGTGGATTCACATGATTATGTAAGCTGAAAATATATAAATGGTAAACTCAGAAAGTTAACTTATAAGTTTAATCAAGTTTTATTTAATTTAAATTTATAAACAAGTTAATATAATTTTATAAACTAAAAATATAAAAACAATAAATTTAAAGAGTCAATCAAAGTTTTGACAACAATCACTTGATCCATCTATATTATTTATAATAAATCTATAATAAATGACATAGTTTCACAAGCCATAGCTCATGTTTAAAGTTTTGGTTAGGGACTCATTATAATAATTTTAAAATTTTATTATTTTTTTAAAAAGATAATTGTAAAAGATGTTTAATCAAATCATAACTTTGCTGAACTTTTTAGTAAAAATTTAAATTTTGATAATAACCTTGTATACTCAAAGTTAATTACAGCTTTAAAGAACTATTTAATTAAATTTAAGCTTTCTTGTGTAACCTATGTTTGTATGGAAAAGAAAAGGTTAATAAAAAGAAAAATGAAAGGGGAGAAAAGGAGGGGGGAAAAAGAGAGAAAAAACTAGAAAAAAAATGTTTGGATGGAAGCCTTCTTCACCATCATCAATGTTGGGAGAGATGCGAGAGAGGAATGAAGGGTAATTTGGTCCAAAAATATTTAAGCCCAAGACTGATTTTTCAATACCATGTGGGGTGGTGATATTAAGAAATCTTATTTGAGTGGCATTAACATAGGAAATAAATTTATTAGTATTCTATGCCAAACATAAAAAGTTAGGATTACTTAATCTTAATTTCAAATCCAACCCTCCTGTCTCATATACCCAACAAAGCCTTGAGTTTTACCCACTATTACTTTCACAGTAGTAGAGAAATCAAAACCTATCTAGTTTGCTTGAGACTCTCTCATTCTTCCACCAAACAAAGAGTGATACTAATTGAAAAATGAACTTGTCATAATTAAAATGAAAATATATAACATGTTATGCGTGAAAAAAAAAATCCTATTTTGGCCAAAAATCAAATAAAAAATCCTATGTTCCTATGCTAACTAGTTGATAGGCTTATTTTGATTCTAAATATAGGATCTCAATATAATTTATTTCCTATTTTATTGTTTTGTTTTCAAACTATTTCTATTAACTGCACAAATTAACGCATGCAATTAGAAAATAATTTTCATTGTAAATGATTAAAAATGGATCAACACATATTTGTTAACGAAAATTAACCTACAAATCTTTCTAGTTTTCATCAATTTTGAATTAAATTGCAGTAGTTTATTTTGTTTTAATTAAAATATTATAATTTAATTAATTAAATATATTAGTCCTATAAAATTAAAATTATTAATGAATAATTAACTTTTATAAAATAAAAACACTTTTAAAATTTATAAAAAATGATTTAATATTTTTAGAAAAAACCAAAAGAAAATTTAATTCAATATAGTGTTTATATTTTTATTAATTTTTTAGAAAAATTCTATATATAAAAGTTGTTTAAAAAACATAATTTAATTATATAGATTTTGAGTTATAAAAATTATGTGATTAATTCTTAAGTTATATAATATTTTAAGAATTTAATTAAAAAATATATTATAAAAATATAATTTTAAAATTGAGTTAAACTAATAGGACAAGCAAATTAATTTTCTCCTTTTTTTATAAATAATTAATTTAACTAATTTTGTTAATTAAAAAGGATGTGATGTGGTGTGATGGACATCATGACATCATCAAACCAATGGGCCCAAACAAGGCGCTTAATGAGGGTGGGCAGAAGTCCAATGAGGGTGGACCAGTGGAGTTGATTTAGATTACACGATAACGCACAAGTTCAAAGGACCGTTAGTTACGTATGCGTTCACAACCTTTTGATATTCCACATCCTTCTATACCGATATTTTTTCTTCCTTGCCAAGTGCCAACTTTTTTCTTTTCTTTAAATACAAGATCACAGAAACCTGTGTAATAAAAACAAATTACACAATCAATGGGTGCTTGGTAGAGTTGGTAAGGGTTATTATCAGCATTCCTTAAGGCGAGAGTTCGAATCTTAGAGAGTGACAGATGCGATAATTAACACGATCTCAAAAAAATTATCCATCGGTACCTCACTACCATATACAACACAGATATTGAGATACATCATCTCATTTTATACTGCTTCCTTATCAACCCAGCCTTATAATATTGACCATACATGTTTCCTCGTAAATTACAAAAAAAAAAAATTAGAAAGAGGTTATTCAAATAAATAAAAAATAATCCGTTACTCAAGCAATTTTATATGCCCATTAAATTGTGTTCTAGAACAATAAAATAACACAGCTTAAAGTAAAGTAATTTTCCTACAAAAATTATCTAATAATAAATGTCATTATGGCATATTTTCGAGTGTCGTACTATTTTGATTCCTTTTGATAGAAATTTTGAATTCCTAAATGGCGAAACTTCCAGTTTTGTTTTAATATATGAAGATTAAATGAATGAGAGTTTGTGCTCTGGAATATTACATGATAAAATATTTAATTTACATGGTTTTTGAGCGTCTATCAAAATAGTTTAAAAATAATACATATTTCACCAAAAAAAATTATTGAATATAAATATATTTTCGAAATAAAAAGAAGGTGGAAGAAGTCCGTCTGACTCTGTTCTCTAGCCCAGCCTCCAGGTCCCCAGCCCGACTTACACCAAGAAACAATATTTGATTGGTTGGAACAGATTTTGGTGGGTAATAAATAATACTACTATAATAAGAAAGAAAGTGGTTCAAATCACTCAAAAAAAGAAAAAAGAAAAAGAAAGTGGTTCAAAAGATTTTTTTTTAAAAAAAAATAGTAATTCAAAGCGCACGCGGCTTGCATGCCTCTCGCATCTCGCGTCGCACTCATAAACAAATCCGTTATAGTTGAAAATACCCAGAAAATTGTATTAAAAAAAAAAAAAACCCAGAAAATACTCCAGATTTCCAATCCTGGGTGCTCAATTGCCAAGTAGTACTATGCCTACTCGATCCCCTTGTAGGACACTACACCTCATGATGTACTATTAAGAATTTGCAGTTGCAATATCGAATCAAAACTCTCCCTCGATTTTATGCTGCAACGCATTTCGTGACTTGACTTCTCCAATTTTCTTATCACCTACCTCACACGCCAAACCTCACTGTACTCCGTATCGGCCATCATTGTCACCCACGAAGTACAGCGATAAGAAAGCAAGATATTTCTCAGTCTCCGCTGTTATAAGTCAACCTCTGAGATTTGGATTTTGGATACTGAGAAAATGGGGAGTTTGGGCGCTATTTTGAGGCATCCTGATGACTTTTACTCGCTTGTGAAGCTCCAAATGGCGGTCAGGCACGCAGAGAAGCAGATCCCTCCAGAGCCACACTGGGGCTTCTGCTATAGCATGCTTCATAAGGTGTCTCGTAGTTTTGCTCTCGTCATTCAGCAGCTCGGAACCGAGCTTCGAAACGCTGTAAGTTCCATTTTGCATTTTACGGTGTATCTTGAATTGCCTGAACGGTTTTTGTGTCTGTGGTTCTGGCAAATCATCGATTAAATGAAAGATGGAATGAAGATGAACTACTTTCCTCCGTGAATTTTAGTAGGTGAAGGTGGATTTGTTCTTTTGGCTGCTTACATAGGCGCTGAATCATTTTCGGTTTTAACGCATATGGTTGTGGCGGATTTGCGGCCTTTGGCATTGAAATTTATTAATACAAGCTTAGGTTGACTTGATGTTTGACCTAGTAATCAATTCCTTGGACACTCCTCGAGTTCTTATTTTATTTCATTAATTCATTCTGCAATGTTTCTTCTCCCTATCCCACTAACAGATGGTTCTGGGTCTTGGTAGAAAACCTACTACTGAAAACCATCAAATTCAGAACGACCTGACTAAGATTTGGGACTCGGTAAAAGATTATCAACCACGGGAATGGATGACAATATGCTTTCTGGAGTTGACACTTACACAGTGTTTTTCATTTTCTAATTGCTGATAATAGTGCTTTCCTCTGTTGAGAGGATTACTTTATTTTCTACTGAGTTTTTTTCCCTGTCAATATTTTCTCGAATTGAATTGTCTTAACCCCAAAATTTTTGACTTTGCAGGTTTGCATATTTTATTTGGTCCTTCGAGCCCTTGATACTGTTGGTTTGTTCCTATAGCCTTCAACTTACACTGCTCGTTTTTGCTTCAGCTTATAATTTTGTCCTATAAGAGAAACTTACATTATAGAAATAAAGATTTTTTTTAGTTTGTTGAACATACTGGCTTGTGGTTTCTATTGGTTCTACTAGATATCAGGATATGTTAACTTGACCAGCTGATTGGTCCATGATCTATTATCCGTATTTTTATCAATTTTATTTTGGTTAATTAATTAAGATAAATAGAGACTGTCTTCAGATGCTTTGAAAATTTCCAGCTTGTTGCATCACATATATCTTATTTGGGGAATAAAGAGCTCAAACCATAAATATGCAAGCAATTATCAAATTACTCATACACAATTTGACAAGATACTATATGAAATTCTTTTTTTGTCTTGCTTATAACGAAAATATTTCTATCCAAACACCTGAGAAGGTATTAATCTGCTATAAATTAGTTTTAGCCTACTATGCATTTTGCCTAGGGATGGCTATATATGTGAATCACAAATGTTTTCATTCTGTTTTCCTAAGTTGAGATTAGATAAAGAAAATAAATGGTTTTCATTGCAAAATGAAAGCAAAGAGAAAAGAAATGATGTCAAGTTTCTAATTTGAACCACAGCTACCTGATATGGGAAACTTGTACTGAGAATGTTAATAAGAATTCTGATTGAGAACCTCTTTCCTCTTCCTGGTTACCTATTAACATTGCACCCTTCAGTGTTTGAAACTGTGTTTTCACTAATTATATTTTCAAAACTTTTTTTTTTCTTTTGGCAGAGGACGATACTGGCATAGCTACAGATGTCAAGGTGCCAATATTAAAAGCTTTTCATCATCACATATATGATCGTGATTGGCATTTTTCATGTAAGTGTCTTGTTGTCACCTTCACTATTTCTTTTCATGCCAAGTTAGATGTCATCCAGCATATTGTTTGTAACCACTTGCTGGAATTATCCTCCGTTATTCTTGTTCAACTTAACCATGCCAAGCTTGTTCTGTTAGAAATCTGGTAGAGAAGTTTAAATGGCATTTTTACTCTTTTAATTGTGCACATACCTCAAACCTTGTTTGTAGAGGTTTTCATGCTGATCCTAGTTTGTTTTAATGTAACTAGGTGGGACAAAGGAGTACAAAATCTTAATGGACCAGTTTCATCATGTTTCGAATGCATTTCTGGAACTTGGAAAGAAGTCAGTTTTTATCCTTGCACATTTCCTTCTATAGTAATTTTGTTAAGATATTATAGTAAAAGTTATTTATGGCCCTTCACTAGTTAATAGCTCAAGTTTTTAAGTTGAACGGGTCATTGATAAGATACCAAAGCACCTCTAAGATTAAGTGGTCAAAAGTTGAATCCCCTCCGTCTCCAATTCTCTTAATTAAAATTATTTGCAACCTCAAGGCATGGTTGGTTTATGTTCTGTCCACATTTCAAGCTTCAAATGCTTCTTTGTGAGGGAGTGTGTTAGATATTATGACACAATTTATTCTTGGATCTTCGCCTGACCATTTAAGCTTTTGAGTTGATGTGATTCTTGATAACTTCCATCCTGGATTCAATCAATATAAACACTGCAGGCCTTATTTCCTATTTAGTGCCTGCTATTGTTTTAGTGCCATAGACATGCTTTCAAAGGCATGTTGGCTATTTCATGCATGAGTGAACTCATGAATCAAAATATTTGATTTTCTGTTTTCGCGTTACTCTTAATTTGTTTTCTTTTTTGCCCAAGAACATTAAATTTACACTATACAGCTCCTTTAGTCAGTTCTTAAGTTTGGCCTTTGAGTTGTTTATCCATGTGAATTATCAATATTTCCCAGCCATAGTATAGATATTCTTGCATTCGTTTTCTTGTACCTAAGAATTCTCTATGTTTCCAATGAGTTACTCTCTGAATTGGCCAGCTGGTCGGGAAAAAATATTTTGTTGCTTTGGACTCAATATGTTTGCAAAGTTCTCTCGTTTGTCTCCTTGTTTCTTTAAAAAATATTTCATGACTCAGCAGGGTTTCCTGAGATGTGACAGCTAATTCAGTGCCTGCATTAACTTCGCATATATATATATATATATATATATGATGAGATAGAATTGTGATGTGCATTCTTTTGGTAAATGACTAAACAATAAATTAACACTGCAGCTATCAGGAAGCAATTGAGGATATTACCAAAAGGATGGGAGCTGGAATGGCCAAATTTATTTGCAAGGAGGTTCACGATGCATCTCTTCTGTTATCCATAGATTCTTTATTTTTCATGAATATGCTAGCTTAGATCCACTTAATAGATTCATCTCTTTGACTGATAGGATATCATTTTATTTTGCTATTCCCTTAAGGATAAGTATTAGTCAGTGTTCACATTTAGAGGAGATTATTTTTTCAAAAATTTCTGGGACTTATCCCGCCCCTCAATTCTACTGCTCATGTTTATAAAGAACTTCAATTAGTTACAACCTGATTCCTACATTCTGATTAATTAATACTCACAACAGTGTTAAAGTAGCCTTTAAGTATTTTCATATCCATGAACAAACATTATATGGCCAAATTATGAGTGTTAATCCCCCTTATTTTTTTATATTTTTTCATAAAATTTGTTTTTAAGGTGACAAACATATGGCTCTGTACACTGCTAGGTTTTTTTACCTTCAAATTATTTATCAAGATTCAAGAATTAGACCTCAATGAATATCTAACAAACAAGGACTAAAGTAGCACCAAATTTTGATATTTTCATGATAATTGTGCTATACTACTATCAGTGCTTCTGTCCTGTTTCTCATGAATTCAATCCGGAAGCATTATTCCAATTTCCAAACAAATTTCCCTTCAGTCTAGATGTGTAGTCTTAATTTACACCATGATATTTCTCCCAACTTACAGGTGGAAACAATTGACGACTATGATGAATATTGTCACTATGTAGCTGGACTCGTTGGGCTGGGTTTATCTAAGCTTTTCTATGCATCTGGTTTGGAAGATTTGGCTCCAGACGACCTCTCTAATTCAATGGGTTTGTTCCTTCAGGTAGCATAAAGTAAAATATAGAGAGCAATAATTTTTTTTTTTTCATTCTTTGCTTACTTTTCAGTTGAAAACCTTCTGAAATTGCAGAAAACAAATATTATCCGAGATTACCTGGAAGACATCAATGAGATCCCAAAGTCACGCATGTTTTGGCCTCGGGAGATCTGGAGTAAATATGCTAACAAACTTGAGGTTTGCATCTTTAAGGATTTGTTTTAATCCCCACCTTTCATTTTCTATCTCGTACTTCATGATTCTAGGCCGAATTTATATGACCTGGTGGATGTTATGATGTTGGAAACGACTTTGCTGTCTCATATCACATGTATACATATCATTTATGTTTGTTTTTCTTCTGAGTTCCACATGTATAACTTTGTCTTTATCCAATTTAATTTTGTGGTCCAGGACTTGAAAGAAGAAGACAATTCTGTCAAGGCAGTGCAATGCCTCAACGACATGGTTACCAATGCTTTGATGCATGTTGAACATAGCTTACAATACATGTCTAACTTACGAGACTTAGCTATATTTCGTTTTTGTGCCATTCCTCAGGTGCTGTTCTTTTTCTCAATGATCTCTAGTTTAATTGTTGGATCTCCATTGTCTTCATTGATACAACGGCATTTATTAATCATCAGCAAGGTTTTAGCTTCAATAGATGTTTTTCTTATAAGTCATTCCTGGCCTATTTCCAAGTCCTGTGAATAAAAGCTTCATACTCAATGTGAAGCAAAATAATTTAAGTTGTTACAATGGTCAATGAGTTTCCTTGAACTTTTGATATTGCCAAAATGATCTGATAAATGATAATTCTAATATATGATTTATATGCTTTGGTTGTTTTTGCTACATGTCGAGGTCAAGGATCTCTATGTGGCTTGACTGACTTGGTAAAATAGCAGATATTGCATGCCTAGCTAGATTTCCTTAGGGAATTGAAGAATCTAATAGTATCCAAAATAGGATTTGATTTGCTTCCTGGTTGTTGGTGATATAGAAACTGAAGAAGCTAAGCTGCTCAGGTTCAGGTCTTGGATCCTCGCCTCCCATTTTCAATTAAATGAAGTCCTATTGCACGTTTTGTAAGTGGAAAAATATTTTCTAGAAAAGAAATAAGAAACGTACCTAAGAAAATAGGGTAGTTGCATTTCTGATTTTCTTTCTAGAAAACACTTTTCTACCAACCAAACATGGCATTAGTACTTCTCTTAATCTCTTCAGGCTTTGCTAAGTTTCAGTTCATTTCTCTGTTGGCTTCTACTTCTATAATCTCTCCTGTTGTTCTTATGCATCATATATTCAAAAATCCATGTCTGTAGCTATAGATATTTTTAAACTAAATTTGTTTGGTTACTTGGATGCTTGACATGTTCTGCAACAGATCATGGCCATTGGGACTCTTGCATTATGCTACAACAACATCGAAGTCTTCAGAGGTGTAGTTAAAATGAGGCGTGGTAAGATGATGTATCTTGAGATACTAAGTGCAAATCATTTTAGCTTTAAGGAATGTTAGGCTTAAAACTACTTTTAATGGAAAATGTGTGAAATTCACTGAATTTTGATTGCTGCGTGTAGCTTTCCATACCAGCTCATTCCAAATCAATCTGCCAAAACTAAACTTGTAGAAAATTTTCTAACAGGAAATTAGATAGATTGTGTTATACATTAAAATCATATGTTGAGCAAAACTCAATGCCGTTATACATGCTGCATTTGTGCTGTTGGATTCCCTGGTTGCAACTTATGGCACACATCTGTTGCTTTATCCTCTAGTAGAAGTTGTTAAGTAAGGTAATTAAAGAGTGAATTGGATGTCACTTGTGATGATTTCTAATTTTTGACTTTGTAAACACTGCAAATTCTTAACCGTGCTCTGGTCAACATTTTTATTAGTGTATGTAACCACCTGTTTTCTTGAGAAAAAATGAAAAGGCTACATATAGATTTTGTGGTAGTGGTGTACTAAGTGCCCGTTTAAATTTCAATTGGGTATAATAGATTATAAAAATAAGTGATTAAATGGTAGATTTTAATTATAATTGATTATGTTATAAAGCAATCTGTTTGGATACCATTTTTCTAAAATTGATTTTAACAGAATTAAAGATATTTGGATAATTTATTCAAAATCAATTTTAGTTGTGTAATTTACTATAAAGGACATTGCTTTTCAAAATTAAATTATTGATAAATTTGTATCTAATATTATTAAAGTTGTTACATTTTGTTTAAGAAGTAAAATATATTATTAGATTACATATCTAATTAATTATAAAAATTTAAATTATATTAATATTAACAATTTAATTTACGTAAATAACTAACTCAATAGATCTTAGTTCAAATAAATTTAACAAAAGAGAAAGATTTAATTCTTAAATACCAAACATCAATTTTATAATAACTAATGAAGATGATAATATACAAATTAAATTTTCTCTACCAATTAATATTTTATTTGAATTAGTTTTATAATAAGTGCTAAGTAGAGGGTGGTGTTTAATAGAAACTTATGCTAGCAACTTTTTAAAGATTCAAAGTTGAAATTTTGTTGAGGAAGAGAGAAGAGAAAAGAAAAGAGTTTGGTTTTATTTTTATTAAATTTTGTGCCTTATAATTTTTTCTTGGGTCTTGCTTTGTAATTTTCCCCAACGTGTCTTGATCAACTTGCCAGCTACCAAAAAAATCGATTAAATGGTTTTTCAGGTGTTTGGATACCAACTCAGAAAATCAATTTTTTGAGTAAAAAAATCGATTATAAGTGTATCCAAACACACTAAGTTGTTCTAATTATTATGTTCGTGACTTGTAGGTCTAACTGCCAAGGTGATTGATCGGACAAAGACAATGTCAGATGTCTATGGTGCTTTCTTTGACTTTTCTTGTATGTTGGAGTCTAAGGTATGCGGTATTTTAAAGTATGTTACTTTTGCAACAGGCTGTGTTTTATAGCCAGTCTATAGTCCGAATAAGGGGATTGTGTTAGGCCTTCAACAGTGAACATAAAACTTTGTTGAATTTCATATGGATATAGACACTAGACTTTTTTTTTTCCTTTTGGCTAATCCTAGTTCGTTGCCCTTACGCAATGCACTGTAGGGCTCAAGTACAGTATCAAATAATGTGAATAAGAATGCACATATTACAATTGTTTCACACTTGATAATGTGATTGGCACATAGCTTTTGGGCCTAAGATGGCAAGGGGTTACCATAAGGAGATAAAGACAAAAGATAGAGAAGAGGGTTGTCCATGTGTGGGAGCAATGAATTAGAGGAGAGGGTTTATTAAGGGGTTGAGGGACCCACAGGGGGAATAGGCAAGAATTTGGTATTGTTTGAGGAGAGCCCAAGCCTCTCGAAAGCTTGGGGAGTAGTACAAGAGGGTTGTCCATGTGTAGGTGGGATGAATTAGAGGAGAGAAGGTGTGTGGTTCGTACGTGGGTTGGAGGGGTTTAGGGACTAAGAGGGACAATAGGCAAGAATTTGGTATCATATAAGGAGAGAGCCCAAACTCTTGAAAGCTTGGGGGAGTGCTTTCTTCTTCTTTCTTTTTTTTTTTTCCTTCCTTTCCTCCAAGTTACTGTTGCTTGCTTTTTTGTGTCGATTTCGGGTACTGTTTTGTTGAGTTAAATATTCAGTAGTAGGATATTTTAGTTTCATTCTGGTCTGGGCTCCATCATAATGCTACTATTTATGTTTTATAAGAGCATACATATGAATATTGCAAAAATAAGATTTTGAAAAAATGCTTTACAGAACGAGAGTTGGTGATGCTTAGAAAGCCTTCTATATACCCAATTTCATAGAAATAGTAAATCTGTTTAGCCTTCATTAGTCATGACAACCAATAAGCCATGGCTGTCAGGCCTGTAAATTCTTCCCTCTTTTAAATCTTGAATTTGAAAAGTTGCGCCTTCTTTTTATAGCCCCTTAAAGAAAGGAAAAGTGGGTCCTGGAAAGTTTGAAATGCCGATGTTATTGTGGTCGTCTTTATTCTGTAGCACAAACCTCCATGGCACCAAAGCTGTTTTTTAGTTTCATGGACATCTTATTATAGCTTGTTTAGTTCCATCTTAAAAATCTATTATTGTTCTCTGTAGGTTGACAAAAATGATCCCAATGCAGCAAAAACATTGAGCAGGGTGGAAGCTATACAAAAGGCTTGTAGAGAATCTGGTCTGCTTAGTAAAAGGCATGCAGATCATATCCATGTAGCTTCTAAAGTGTTTTTTCACCATTGAGATTGTGACAGATTTTACATTGGTTTCACCAGGAAATCTTATATTTTGAAGAGTGAACCTGGATATAACTCAGCCACGGTAGATTTATATCTTTTTGTTTTTTTTGGTGGGTAGAACTAGAACTTGATGCTATATATGTAAATTATATACTGATTTGATGTGCTCCTGCAGTTTCTAATACTTATGGTCGCGCTGGCTCTCATTTTCTCATATCTCTCCACCAACCGGGACAACAATTGATGTAAGTTTCATTGCCAGTTTTAATCTGTGGCAGAATTCAGTATAAACTGTAAGTTAGGGGTAGATTATATCAGAGACCCAATATTAGTAGGTGTTATTTTCATTGCCAGGAATAATGTAAGTGATTTCATAAACGTTCCAACGATGGGTTGCTTTATTAATTAAAAGGTCGTTTTTTATAATACAAGTGAAGCAAATTTTTAAAAATCTTTTTATTGTTTTATTATTCTTGTAACTAACTAAAATTCAAACGTAAAAACAAAACATGGTAGCGAATTAAGTGATATGGCAACACACTACAGGTATTGTATGACGTAAACCTGTATTGAACGAGGGGAGAACAGTAGTTAATTCAAAATTTTGAGTGATTTTTCCGCCTTTTCACTCCTCTAATTTATGCTTTTGGTCCCTTCCAGCTGGCGTGAGATGGCAATGCAACAGTGCTGTGTTGATCATTATCCATGATGTGGACGTTCGAGATCATGAGGTAGATGACTGGTGTTGATTATGCTAAAAAGAGGCGGCGTGTGTTGAAGCCAGATGTGGTTCCTGTGGTCTGTATGACGTACCTTCCTGTGTTGAGTTTTTCTTTTATCCTCTTGCCACCCATACCATTGTCGTTTACATGGCAGTGTTATTGGCCGTTACACAGGGATTAAGTTGCTACAAGTGAACCCTCACAACGAAAATGTCTGTTATATGTGTTTGGGCCACAAAGAGATCTGGGATTATAAGGTTCCATATTGTTAAGAATATGAAAATACGTGCTATTAATTATATTTTCACTATTATTATTTTATACTAATTGGCTATTATTTTTATTAAAAATTAAATTTTTATTTCTTATTCACTTATTTTTATTTTTGTGAAGGAAATTTGTAGGAGGAAAATAGCATGTAATAAGATTTTCGTCAAAATAAATTTGTGGCGTAGATTATTTTAATTCGATGTACACTGTACTGCAAATCTGCAATCCATTAGAACCTGTATTAACTGAACTTTTACATTTTTAGACCATCAGTTAAACTACTTTGCGGCTTAAAAAAAGCTGTAACAGCGACAATTTTGAAAGGCACATTATCTTCAGTCCAAATGTCCCATGATGAAAAGTTCGATTACTCTCGAACCAAAAGAACAATAAAATGCTATTTTCAATCTATAAAGAAGATGTTATTGCTGTAATTGCCTATTTGTTCCTCCCCAAAACTTATGCCGGTAACAAGCTCATCTCTTAAATTAAATATTCAGATTTACAAGCTGTTATTCAGACCCTATTTGTTTTTGCATGAAATATTTTGAATTTGATTTTATATTTAAAATTTTATTTATGTATTTGAAATTCTTTGTTTGGATAGCATAATTTTTTAAGGGAGAAGAGACAAGCTTAAACTCACCAAAAACAAAAAAATTGAAAGTAACTATTATAAATATTATATTGTAAATATTCATAACTCAATTCTTAGAATTTTATTCTTAATGTAGTTTCTTGTTAATAACTCATAACTTTTAAAAATTCCACAATGCATATTATATACTTCTCTATATCTTTATAACATTAAGATGAAATTTAAATAATTAAATATTTGTAAATAAAAATCATGTCCAAAACATATATACACTAGCGAATAAAAACTTTCATTGTTTTCTCTCAAATTCTTATATTGTTTTGTTCTTCTCTATTTTTCATATTAACTATATTATATAACAGTAAAAATTTTATCTTTATTCTTCAATCAGCAAAAAATGAGAGGAGACGAGAGTGACATGCCAAAGGGAAAGAGTTAGTGCAATTGAAATTTTAAATAATTAGAACACAAAGAACATTTAAAATTACAAAAGAATTATAATAAAAAAAACAGAATTGAATAGATTTTTACGTATCTAAATTAAAAAAAAAATTGATCCAAAACCCAATCAATCCAAACAAAACATTATATAATTTACATAATAGCAGTAGAAAAAACTCAACTATTTGTACCTGATCTGGAGTCTGATTGTTAGAAGAAAAGCTTCCAATTGCATGGATTTCTTGGCAAGCTATAAAGGCTAGCCTCTAGAAAATTCTCTTGGATACATGATGTGTAAAATTCTATACAATGAAATAACAATAAATAAAAGAGAAAATGACATTCGTTTGCTGCTGAGAAAAAATTTGGCATCTGCGTAACAAATTAATTTTCTCTACGCTAAGATGACCCCAAAAAACATGCACGCTCAAAATTTACAGGGTAAGAAACCAACCCAACAGCAGAAGTTAGAATAGTACAGCCATCTTGCTGGCAAGAACCCGTTCCCTTCTCTCAATGTACCCAAAAGGAAACCAACCTGCTTTCCCTTTGCACTCACCCTCAGCCCATCCATTGCTTGTTACCTGTTTAATGTCAAAATAAACATATTACGATCAATTTGAGACGCAGAAGGATTTTCAAGGTAAAGTGATCTGTTTCTACCCCAGAAAAGCTTCTTTAATGTTTTAAAGGCTTCGATCAACTTTTTTTCACACTCAGTAATTCTCTCTACAATCTAAACCCATGCTGCTGCTTAATAAGAGATAGGGATAATGACAGTTTAGGTTCCAAAAGATTAATTTAATGATAGTTAGGTTCCTTACAAAATTTTCTTAAAATAAGTCACAAGTATCAATTCAAACAATTACAAATTCAAAAGTCTCAGATGCAAATAAAGCATTCAAGTTTCAAATGTAACTTTTAGTTTATATTTGAAATTTTTGCTCGCAACTACCAAATCAATATGTGTGTCTTATTTTTCATAAAATTTTGTTGAGAACAAAACTGTTATCAAATAGATATTTTGGAACTTAACAGTCATTTTTCCTAAGAGATACCAACTCTTAGTGAACCCCTATGGATCCCCAAAATTTTATGGTTGGGAAAAGCCAAAACATTTCAAAACAGATGCACTCTTCCCCATTTTGGGGGTAAAAAATGCTACAGAAAAACAGATACCTTCCGAACAACAACATAATCACCAACTGACAGATTTAGCTCCACCTCAGACACCGCATTGTATGGAAACACAACCTGCAAGAGTAAAAAAGGACAACAGAAAGTAAAGCACACACTTCCTTTGCAAATCAGTAATATATGTACCAGATGCAATCTTCTACTAACCTCTCCTAAGAAGTAGCCCATGCTATCTGTTGATCCATCGGGTGCCTGTGGAGCATAGACACCATTTGCTTCTTCATATGATGGGGGTGGAGGCATGCTATTTTCCATGCTAGGAGCAGAAGGGGCTTCAATGCGCTGCCGTTCTGATATCATCTATCATTAAATATGAATATAACAGATAATCATACGTTGATGCCAAAAAAATTGTGACCCAACTGTTTGATTACAACTGCGGTGGGGAGAATAGAATGATTAAAAAACCAAGACTCATGATTGCTTACCTCTCCCTCAAGCTGATCAAGTATTTGGAGGACTCTCTGGTGATAGTCACGCTCTGCTTCAACCTTCATGATAAGAAATAAAAATGCTGGATTTAGTTGTGATTTATTCTATTGCCTCAGATGAAAAATTCATTAACCACGAATACTTCTCCATCAGATGGTACCACTGTAATACCATAGCTATAAGACGCTGAAGGGTCAATCTCTGTTGCTGTGCTTCAACAGAAGCCATTGCTACAGCAGCTTCCTTCCCTAACATGGCCGTGTTTGACTTCAGATCTTGAAGTTTTGCTTCAGCTGCTTCCAATTTCATGGTATTCTCAGCATTGCCCGGAGTTTCCCTTAGTTTAGCCTGACGTTTGGAAACTTCAATTGCCTGCCAAGATTCAAAGGATAGCGTAATTACAAGTCCAAAGACAAGAAGAAAACAACTAGTGAACTACTCCCTCCGTCTTAAATTATAAGACACTTTTAGGAAAAATTCAACATTCCAAAATATAAGACACTTTGATAAAAATAAGGTTTCAATAATGATACTTTTTCAATATTACTCTTTCCATATATTCTCTCTCTTCAACATCAACGAAGTATTAAATGTAGGGCATTTTTGAAAGTTTAAATTTTTGTCTTCAAAAAATAAGGTTGTAAAGTGCATTTAATGAGCTTTATTGGTGTGTGAAATTTTGTCTAAAAGTGTCTTATAATTTGGGATGGAGGGAGTATCATTTTTTACATAACCAGTATATAAAACCATTAATTCTAACATGTCCTTACGCACTGGAAAAGTTAAAAGACAACTACTTTTTTAATGAAAGTTCAAATTCCTGGATACCTGGGCTTCAGCTTCCTGTCGCATTCTGTCATAACGCTGAGCAAGATGCCGAGCATCCTCCAATGGGGCTCCCACCACCATTGCTCTTAGGGGCTCTGCAACCTAATCGTGGAGCAAGACGTTGATTATAAAAGATGACAAACTGAATACATTAACAACACAAGTGAGCACATGACTACCGTGGGAAAGTTGAACTTCTCTGAGTATAAAAAAGAATTGGATCTAGTTTGCAAGAAGTCTCCATATTCTTTTTAATTTGATTATGTTTAAAAGTCTGCAAAGTCACAATCATGTATTCCTTTTTTGGAGGTGGCATTATTTATGAAAGGTCAAATTTAAACCCTATAACACCAATGAAAAGGGTCAAGTTTATGTCACAAGTTTCCATATTTTTCCTCTTTCAAAGGAATATATAATAGTTACTGGTTTGTAGTTTCTCAGTAGAATAGGAAAATACAATATTGCAATACACAACAAACCACAAGTAAGACAAAGGTCTTTATTTCAGACAAAAGAAAGGAGACACAATATAAACAGATGACCAGACGCTTACATTTCAAGAAAGGAGAAAGGGGACCATTGTAAAAAGATGACCTGACACTTGCATTTCAAGAACTAACTATTACAGTGAATTCAAAAGCGATAATAATAAAGGGACAATCACATCCTTTGTTCCAATCAAGACAATAGATTGTCAAACCTGGGTGCCAAGTGCTTTCAGTAAGTTCCCATGCTCCTTTTCCATTTGAGCACGTGCACTTGCATAACTTAGTGCAGCTTTTGATAATGTATTGCCACTGGTACACGTATTTTCTGCACCATATTTCTTGCTATCTTCTGACAATTTTGTTCCTGTGAAATAAGATATAAATGAACTATATAAAACAATGCTGGGTAATGTAAAACCAATCGCATGATAACTTCATACAAAGCTTCACCAACCAACAATATTTACCAATTTCTACTTGTTTAGATCCAGTAACAATGTAACCTTCTACACCACGGACAATATCCCTTTGATAATGCTGAAGAATAGAAAGAAACTATCATTAGTCAAGGAAGTAAAAAAGAAACTGAGATGGAAAATGAAAGAAAACATAGAACATGAGGACCAGGTAACCTTTCCAGCACGTGTTGATATGTAAAGCTTTTCAAGCTTCTGATGTTGCTGTGGCTCCATCTCATCAGTGACCCCGCTATCTGAACCTCCATATGCCCCAGCCCCAAACTGTTTCAGAACAGCCTATAAAATAATAATAACAGTGATTAATAAAGGAACATGGTCATCATAATAACTATAGATGCATGCTAGGGTCAATAATTTTCTGGCATGTGCTCATGCCAATCAACATAATGAGAAAAAGGCAGCAACATATGAATAAGAAAATTGTTGTAAAAATGTATCAATAGCATCTGTTAAGTTAAATGTCTAGGTGGCTAATTCTAAAACAAGAGTGTAAACGTTATCTTCTACTTCAAAGTTAACACATATTTCCTTACATGGCCAATCAAAGAGCGTATAAAATCTAGCCAAACACCTAACATCAGGTTTGGCATCAAGGTCGTGGTTCTCTTGAAGATACAAAATATGAGGAGTCAACTCATCAACTCATGGTGATTATCTTAATCCTTTCATGACAAGATTTGAAAGTCAAGTTCCAGTTCATCTCCTCAGCAGTAATTCAATAATGACCTCCATTATGATAACTTCATGGATACGGATATTTTTCTAATATGATGTCAATCCAGGTGATATCAGGAAAGCATTTATAATTTCTAATTTGAGTGTCCCTCCAAATTATGATATGAAATTGATCATTGAAAATGAAGGGGATTGCTCGTCATTCCACAAGTTTGAATTTGAAGACAAAGAAAGATGATAGTGTTGAGATAAAACATTTTTCACACCAACTGCACTTCTCATGGAAAAGAATGTTAATCTAATAATAGATGAGCGGAGAATAGTAGCAACAAAGATTATGTAAAATTTAATGCTAAAACTTGAAAAGCACTGTCTGCCAGGGGAAAAAAAAACTGGTAGATTCAAGGAAAAAAAAAAGTGAAAAAGTAAAAGCAGATAAAAGATGCTTAGTTGATTTTTTTATTCAAAAGAATTATAAAGATGGAGTTTGTGTGATGTTGCTCCAATGGATGTTTCTTATCTACATTTTGGTAAACCATAATACATGTTATACGATAGGAAGGTTATTAGTGTTGGTTTTAAAAGTTCTTGCTCTTTTATAAGGGTAGTGACAGAAAATTCTTGGTATAAAAGAAGTATTATACCAGAGAAAATAGAAGAGGTACAATCAGGGGGAATATTTATCACCCAAAGTATAACAAACCACTTTGATAAATTTTTCAATCGTGAGATATTTTCAATTCTAATTCACTACTTGTTCAGAACCTTAAAAGGCCATTTCTAGTTCCCTCTTACCAAAAATCTTACATGGCCATTTGCCCATTTTCCAGACAATTCCTTCTGCCATTGCAATTATTGCATGCACCTCCTGTTAACAGGCCCCTGTAACTTAATATGTAAGCTAATGGATCTTACAATGATCCATCCACAACAGTCACTGGCAGAAGACAAGCAATAAAGAATGAGAAAAACTCAAGTCCAAATTTCTAGACGTTTAATGTTGAGTTATTTATTAGGAACTTCGAAATACCGAGATTCTTTTTTAGCTTAGAACTAGACGATCGACTGCTCCACGTGCCATATTTTTATTGGAAACTTCACTGTAAGTTTTGTCCATGAACTATTTTACGATTCATCTGATCGAATGCCAATATCTGCAATGATTCTGAGTTCTTGACCAAGTTCTATGCATATGCAAGCAAAAGTACCAGTTCAAAATTCAACTTCTTCTGTAAGAATTCTCACAATCAAATGTTGCGGCTGTTCTCAATTCACTTCAGCAATATAAGCGCACAACTTCATAAGTCACTAGAATCGATTTCATCCAAACAAAAAACAATAATCATCCAAACGAAGGTTGCATCACCAACGCTAAAACCTCAGAAAACAGAGCAGAAGAAAATTGCACTGAGCACATATTAAAGCATAGAAAAGGAAAAATAAAAGAGCAAAATAAAATTATACGTGTAAAGAAATTTCATAAGATAAGAGCGACTGTAAATTCTTAAGATCTAACAAGGAAACCCACGATTGAGTGCGAGAGTGAGAGTGAGGAAACCTGTTGTTGGCGAGCGACCTGTTCTCGGAGCTTGTAGGCTTGCTTTCTGATGGCGTCCATTCACCCTGACCAAGAGATTGAACCTACCTCCAGAAATCGATCTCAGAGCACCTCGCTCCAACTAAATTTATGTAAGAAAGTAAGGAAACACACAGCCGGAGGATTTTTAAAATTGATTTGGGATTCGGTTCCTTCGTGGAGACAAAAGAAGAGTACCCAGACCAGCTCATAGCTTCATGCTCACAGCGCACTGTAGGAAAGATAGCCTTTTTAAAACAGATATAAAAATCGATAACATAAATAATTATATTTTATATAATGCATGCGTGTTTGTTTTTGCCCCTTTTTTTCTTTATCTTTTTTCTCTCTATTTGCATGAAACTATTATGCTATTTAGTTTTTAACCATCTTAATTTATTATATATTAAGTTCCTCGAGCAAGCTTCTTTAAAACTTGCAATGAAACCATGTGAAACAGAGATCCTTGCGCTACAAATTTTGTTTTTAGATCAATTAGTTAGGAGTGAAGACACCTTTACTTATATTGAGCAAGACATCAATATAAATTTAATTTAATAGTAATCACTCACGACGAAGCAATTAAGAGAAACCAGGATATATATATAAGGCCAGAAAAGCCATTCCATTACATTAAATGGCCCCACACGGGTTACAAGCCAGCGCTACCCTACTAGTAAATCCCAAACAATTTTATGTAATTAATTATAAGCATGTGCTCAACTGCTTCTTGAATATAAAAAAAAAAAATCTCTAAAAAGAAAGCCCACCAATTTTAAATGACTTTAGAAGAGATTTAATCTTGTACATATGGGTGAAGCTGAAGCAAGTGATTTCCTTTGCATCCTTGCCCGCTCATATTAGAATCATAATGTCTCCAATACACACCTACAGCCACTATTAAGCCCACTAATTACATTTTATCCAATAAAAATTTTCTCATTGGCAGGTTTAAGAATAGGGTGGGAGCTGCAGGCCATATAATTTTTTTTTGTCTTAAATATTAATGAAAAAAGCATATAAAATTATTTTCATTAATCATGACTAAAAAAATTATTTCTTCTATGGACATTAATTTCATCATCTTTGAAAATTAGTAATGAGGTTTAATCTGGTTTCATCTAACCCCTATATATCAATATTGTGAAAGTGAGAAATGGTGTAATTTAAAATTTAAAATAAATTAAACCAAATTAGTTTCATACTCGATTAAAAGAATAAAGGCTAAAGGTTATTTTTATCATTCAACTTTATTTAAAAAAATTATTGAATACTTTAAACTCAACTAAGAGTTAATTATACTCCCTTATCAATTGATGGTTAACTTAGTGTCTTTTCATTGCTAGTGAGTCATACATTAAATTTTTTAATATTTTTTATTATAAAATATTTGAGTTCATGGTGCCATTAACCCTTCAAGATAAAGTTAAAAATTAAAAATGACCCATTATCAAATATTTTATAATTAAAATATAAAAAAATTAATATAAGGCTCACTAACGATGAAGAAAACATTAAGTTAATGATAGAGTGATAAGGAAGGAAATTTTTACATGTTAAGAGATAAAATTGACTCATTATTAAGTTTAAAGTGACCTTTGATTAAAGTTGAGGAACAAAAATGACTCTTAACCAAAGAATAAAGTTTATTATTCTTGTTAAGTATTTTCAAGTTGGCACGCTTTGGAAATTAAACCAAGGCTAATGTATTTTAATGCATTAACTAATTTCTTATATATTTTATATTAACACATTTTTCTATATATTTTGCTATTATTAATACTTCTAGGACATAGGTGATGCACGTTATTATAAATTATATTCAATATACTAATTCTTTTCATGAACATGGCTCTACCGGGAAGCCTGATTGATGAGTTAAGCAAAGTCGTCCTAGAGGGCCAAGATTTGGATACTGAGAGGGTGATTCTAGATGTGGTGGAGTTATTAGAAATTGCCAAGTTGATTTTTTTTTTTGGGGCCAAAAATGCCAAGTTGAATGGATTGTAATGTAGGTTTTAACCCAAATGTGAGTGTGTTTTCTGCAGCTATAACTATAACTGAGATTGTTAGAAAAAAATTATACAAAGATTCCAGTATGCTACTATTTGGGCCAAATGAATATCAAAGTCTACACCAACTATATATGTTGAGGCAGTCAACCTAATCACCATAGCTAATTCAGGGCAACACCCATATAAAGGTATCATTGATCGCGCGAGAACCCTCATTTATAGTAGTGCTTTTGTATCTTAAGTTTTAAATTTAGGGAGGCTAATTTTTGTGTCAATTACTTAGCCGTTCATGCTGATGAAAGTTTAGGTAGTTTTTGCATTTATTATCAACCACCGTCTTATTGCATAAAAGTGGTGGATCATGAAAAGTTACACTTTAATAAATGCGTATTTTTATTCCTGAAGTACTCTCTGTAGAGCACTCAATACTCTAAATTATTGATTGAAGTAATTTTTTTCTTAATGTAATTAAAAGAGAGTATTTTTAGTTGTACTGTTATATTCTTTAACGGTTAACAGTAGAGTCCTAATTAACATTTTCTAGCGATCAATGCTGGGAGTTTGACTACTCCATTTTAATTACTTTAAGAGCAAAATTGCTTGAATTAATAATTTAAAATGTTGGGTGCTTTCAGAAAATATTTTAAGAGCAAAATACACTTTTATTCTTTTTTATTAATGAATCTCAGTATGTTATTCAAAAAAATAATGTGAAAGATGAAAAAAAAAAAAATAAAGGAGTTGACATCACCAAGAACTGGCCAAATCGTGAACCGAAGTCAACGCAATAGAACAAGATTTACTGAAGATACTCTGCTAACATAAAGCTCATTTCTTAGGTACTGATTTCACATCTGGGGGGCCTCTGTCTCACGCACTATCCCCCAGTTGGAACCTACATAGACTCCAAGATTCCAAATTATACAATTGTGGCCTAAAGTAAAAGCAAAAGCCTATAGCCCCATTAATCATCCTACTGGAGCATGTACATAGTGGGGCTCCTTTTTACTTATCTTTGACATGTTGATCTTAAAATCATTCTCACAAATGCAAAGGAGTTTACAGTAAAATAGTCTTCGTGTAAAGCTTTCACTTGCACTTATATACAATCCAGCATTGAGACTTGAGCCTGCCAGTTAAGACTTAAGAATCTCTCTCTACTGTGTATAGACAATATCCCATAAGCACCATCACTTTTGAATGCTCATTCTGGTTTTCTCAAACTCATGGCTCGAGCTTGGGATTTAAGCATGAGTTTCATGCTTCTTGCTCTGCTAGGATTATGCTTCGTTGTGGCTTCTGGCTCTGGCAATGTGAGTTCATCTATTCCTCTTGGTTCTATAGCCTTCTGGGTTTTCTCTTTCTCGCCATATTTTCTTAAGCAGCAGGTTCAGTTTTTGTTTCTTGCCATATCTTCTCTTATCTCCTTCAGGTTCATGTTGTGTATATGGGAGACAGAAGCATGAACCAATATGAACAACACCTTCTTGAAGATTCTCACCTTGACATACTCTCAAACATTCTTGGAAGGTTTTTAATCCCTTATTATTTTGCACAGTGATTTGTTTTAAGAACAAAAATAATGATTTGAGAGTAACCAGTATTAGCTACAAGTAAAGCCTCCTCTCTTCTGTCTTTATGTTTAGTTTAGAAATCGACCTGTTAAATTACTAATTACCGACAGAAGCAAAGGAACACATTTGAAGAGTTTAGCCACCTTCTCATGGTTAAAAATAGATACTTGTATTATCTAGACTTAGCCCTTTAAATATTAATTAAGACAATCTTAAATAAATAAGCATGTCATTATAGAATTTCAGTTATAACGGTTCAATAGAGTTGATAGTCAGTTATCATTATTTTTCTCAACAGCAAAACATCCGCAAGGAAGTCCATTCTGTACAGCTACAAACATGGGTTTTCTGGATTTGCTGCAGTTTTAAGTCAGTCTCAAGCTAAACTCATTGCAGGTAAGACGAAGCTTGGATTCATATATCAGCTTTTGATGATCAATAGTATAAAACCCTTTTCACTTAATTTTTTTTTATTTTTTTGGGAATTAAGTACGAAAAGGAAATTATTAGATCGATCAGATTAGTATAGCTGTCTGGCTTTCTTGTTGGCTTCATTAATTGGCCAATAAATGCTTGTGACAAGTACCAGAGCAATGAGCGTGATAGTGATGTTTATGACATGTAACTTTGAACAAACATTTAATAACACTTTCCATATATGCATTTTATTACTTATATCCTCATACTGAAGAGCACGTTGGCTATATATGCTTGCTTTGCATATATTTGGAGAACTGTTGAATACGCTTTCTGTGGTTTGGTGAATTTCTTAAGACTGTGGTCCAAGTTGGAGATTTTGAAGTGTTACATTAATGCATATGATTCCTTCTTTCTTTAAATAGTACTCTTCATTTTCTATAATATTGATCAAGTGTACTTTGAATTTCCTTCCTGGACGATCTTTAAGTACAGAATAAGGTCTCTTCTGCCAACAAATTTAACAGTTCAATTTCGTGCAGATTTTCCAGGAGTTGTTCATGTAATTCCAAATAGAATTCTCAGTGTGCACACGAGTAGAAGCTGGGATTTCTTGAGTGTGAAGCCAGATATTGTGAATGGAATTCTTTCAAAGAGTCAATCTGGCAGAGGAACCATCATTGGCATCTTGGACACAGGTCAGTATCAAAGGTCCCAACTTCAGAACATGTAGACAAAATATAGTCCGATGTCTCTCTGCATAATTTAATAAAGTGTCCCGCCATATTCAATGTGAGTGTCTACATCGTGTGTCTAACATAAACATAGATCCGCTGAAGTCTCAGTGCTTCATAGTCCCATTTAAACATATCCGACCATTTAGATTAATTACTGAATAAGTGGGATCAATCAATTAATTGGTGCGTGAAATTGACGGAGATGCATATGATTAAGTGGGATTGTGATTTTATCATTAATTGTTGGGTTTGCAGGCATATGGCCTGAGTCAGAGAGCTTTAGGGACGAGCATATGGATAATCCTCCTTCTCGTTGGCGTGGTATATGCCAAGCAGGAGAGAATTTCAACCACTCCCACTGTAATAGGTCCGTTTAGACTTTAAAGCATCCTTCTTAATCCCTTTTGCATACATATCAGGCTCTTTTAATGTTGACATTATTCTCATAACGTAATTGGATATACTGTTTAATCAGTTAGAACAGTCTGTGAGCATATTCATCCAGCTTAGTGATCTAGGATAGAGTCGAGTTTTAGGCCAAGGAGCTCAAATTCAAACACAATTACTAGGTTCTAACACGCTAATTTTTTTTTTTTTGGGACCAACACCAAATGGAAAAAAATCACCTAACGTGGGTGATATCCCAGTAATGGAATGTCCTACTTGTCTATCTTCTCATTAATGTGAGGACTAAACCCCATCCTTGGTTGGGGGGGGGGGAGCCACGTGGCAGCCGCTCTCACAACAATTTAACACAAAAAATATCTTGTGAATTTAATTTGAGTCTGGCCACAGCTTCATAATTTACTTTTAAAGATTTCTATATTAATAAAACCGCTAGCAGTTTTGTGTAAGAAGTGGCCACAATAGCTTTATTTCTTGTTTCTCTTCTTTGGCATGGCAACAAAAGAGATAGACTAAATGAACAGACAAATCCTACAAACAATTTAGCTTTAGGATTCAAAAGTGAGTGGACGAGTAAACCCCTGATAATGGCAAAGTTACTGCATTTGAGTCCTTTCCACATCCTTGAACCACGTGACAAAAGAAGCTACAAGTTTGTTATTCATTATTCAGCTCCCTTTTTTGTCACCAATAAAATTTCACTGGTTAGGATTTTCTCCTCCCGAATCATATACAACATAAAAATTACAAACATATTGCATGAGACACAACTTAAGTCTTCAAATTATACACCAGTACTTCATCATATTGTGTTGTCAGACATATCTCTGTCATTTTTTTCATTTTTAAACACAGTCAGTCATTTCATACAATGGCAGGAAAATAGTTGGAGCTCGCTGGTATTCCAAAGGCTACGAAGCTGAATTTGGAAAGCTAAACACTAGCGATGGATCTGAGTACTTGTCGCCACGAGACGCATCAGGCCATGGCACTCACACTTCATCAACAGCAGCAGGAGTATCAGTAGAGAATGCAAGCTTCATGGGACTAGCAAAAGGATTGGCAAGAGGGGGTGCTCCATCAGCTCACATAGCTGTCTACAAAATTTGCTGGTATAATGGAGCTTGCAGCTCAGCTGATCTTCTTGCAGCATTTGATGATGCAATATTTGATGGGGTTGATGTTCTTTCCGTGTCTCTTGGATCATATCCTCCACTTCCCATTTATGTTGAGGATGTGTTGGCCATTGGATCTTTTCATGCTGTGGCTAGAGGAGTTTCTGTGGTGTGTTCTGGTGGCAATTCCGGACCTTACCCTCAAACTGTCATAAACACTGCCCCATGGATTATCACTGTTGCTGCTAGCACTCTTGATAGAGCATTCCCTTCTATCATTACCTTGGGAAACAATCAAACTCTTCAGGTACTTCATCTCCATCTTGGGAATCCTCATTGAGAGAGAATACAATTCTCTTTCCCTCTGATCTCTCTGTAGGCCAAACAGCACTCTTCCCTTCTGTCATCAGAATTTTTTACAAATAAGAGCATTCTCTATTTTCATCTAGATGTGTATCTCCTTTAGGAAGATAATCTGGCTTTTGATAATGGTGGTCACAATTCACAAGTGTGTATGCTTCGCAGTATTATACCTTTTGCAGTCTGCAAACCCCAGAACAATATTTTGTTTCCTTATACAGGGGCAGAGTTTATATACAGGGAAGGATGTGAACAAGTTTTATCCCATTGTGTATGGAGAAGACATAGCAGCTGAAGATTCAGATGGAGAAAGCGCTAGGTAGAAAAAAAATGCCTTGAATTTCTAACTAAGAAAATGCATATGCTGACATGAATTCAGATCCTCTGAAATAAAAAATTACCTGCATATAATACAGTCAAAAAGAGATAGGGAAAAAAAAAGAGCATAAAAGAAGAAAATGAGTGTCACATATAATCGTATTTTTTTTCTCCGAATGCATAACTGGATAATCGTAAAGGTGATCGAATTTTGCACAGAAGCTGTGAAGCAGGAAGCCTGAATGCAACATTGGCTAAAGGAAAAGCAATTTTGTGTTTCCAATCTGGATCGCAAAGATCAGCCATGGGTGCTATAAGAACCATAACGGAAGTCCGAGGCTCTGGTCTCATATTTGCTCAGTTTCCTGCTAAGGATGTTGCTTTGTCTTGGCGCATTCCGTCTGTCCAAGTTGACTTTATCATTGGAACATCTATACTCATACATGGAAGCTACCAGGTCAGTTCCTAAAAACAATAAATATATTGCATATTCAGCGTATTTGTCTCGTAACCCAATGGGCCAAACGGCTAATTTAAGAGCTTATTATTTTTTGTAATGATTAATAAAGCTAAATACGCCAAATACTGTTTACAAAGATGATGGAATGATTGGGAACGTGAACAGGAATCCTGTGGTGAAGTTTAGCAAGACGAAAACAACAGTGGGACATCAGATATCTCCAGAAGTAGCATTCTTCTCATCGAGAGGACCAAGTTCTCTGTCTCCTTCAGTGTTGAAGGTTCTCATACTCTTCCTTCTTATCAACAAAACTGTTAGGTTGTTCAAATATGAGTGGATTTAAGTCAACATGAGAAGTCTGGCATCTGATAAAATCGGACTTAGCAACTAATATATAACAAAAAAGAGAAAGATTTTGAATTAAGATGCAATGTCCTTCCTTGTCATTTTATTCTCTTTCCCCATTTCCGGGCAATAATTCATCATTCCTAAAAATTTTACCTAATGTTGCTTGAAATCAGAATCTAGCTATCAGGAGTAGAGATATATAATGCTTAATGAACATATATGGATGGTGCGTATATGCAGCCTGACATTGCAGCTCCAGGGGTTGATATTCTAGCCGCTTGGTCACCTGCTTCTTCTGACTATTTGCAAACTGATGATGCGACTGTGAATGGGTTCATTCCTCTTAGCTTCAAGATTGAATCAGGAACCTCAATGGCTTGCCCTCACGTTTCTGGCATTGTGGCTCTTCTCAAATCCATATATCCTAGTTGGACTCCTGCTGCTATCAAGTCTGCCCTCATCACTACAGGTAATATCAATATGTGATTGTAATCTTCATTAGTTGGTCAGCTTAAATTCTAATCATTTAAAAAGCTATTTCACTCATTTATGTGCAGCTTCGTTGAAGAATGAGTACAACCTATATGTTGGAGCAGAGGGAGCTCCTCGCAAGCTGGGTGATCCGTTTGACTATGGAGGTGGACACATTGATCCCAACAAAGCCACGAATCCTGGTCTTGTATACGACTTAGGAATCTCTGATTATGTTCGTTTCCTTTGTTCTATGGGCTATAACAACACTGCAATAACCTTAATGACCAAATCTCCTACTAAATGCCGTAAATCTCCCAAGTTTTTGCTCAATCTCAACCTTCCTTCCATTACCATTCCTGAGCTGAATAACCAACCTTTGACTGCGTCGAGAGCAGTCACGAACGTAGGACCAGTGGAATCTACGTACGTTGCTCGTGTTGTTGCTCCGATTGGAGTGTCTGTGACCGTTGAACCTCCAGTCTTGAAGTTCGATGCTACGAGGAAGAAACTGAAATTTAAGGTTAGTTTTAATTCCAAGATCAAAGTTCAAGGTGATTTCTCATTTGGGTATCTTTTCTGGGAAGATGGTCCACATGAAGTGAGAATACCTTTGGTAGTCCGAACTGTTGTTGGTCAGTTTTATGCAGACTCATAGCCTCTGTCATAAAACTCTGACAATTTTCTTTTTAAATTGAATTATACCAATCTGACCCAAAAAAATTGAATTATACTAATATGATTGGTCTCGCATCGTAGTTCAATTCCGCATTATTTATGAATCATATGACAAGTGTGATTTATTTTGAACAGTTTATACATATAATAATCAAGGGCCCACTATTTGTCCCAATACATTCAAGGACATTAGATTGTACTGTTGACGAAGACTTCACACGGCACACCAAAAAAGTGTGCCTAATATGAATGAAAGGATTCAAATCTTTCAATCAAGCGTTTGGAGTGGAGTGAATATTATAGTGTACACCATCAAAGGTTGAGCACAAACGACATACACATTGAATAACATAATTGACATTATCAATTGAACATTTCGATGGCTTCCAAGTCATCACAAGTATGGATAATTGTCAAAATGAAGTTGAAGTTGTGAGATGAACCGTAATAGGTCAGTGAATTGGAGTTAAGTGAGTTAAAAGAGACATATTCCCTCCACTGCTAGTATCCTAAGTTTCTTCATCTACCTTATTGAATATTTTTTTCTAAACTACTCTAATTAATTTCATAGTTTTTATTATTCTCTTTATCTCGCACATTTAATACCTATTACCCTCATTAAAATAAGAGTATTTTGGGAAAAATGACACATTTTTTTACATGAGAATAAAAAAGAATCAACTTAACTAATTTTTTTTTTATCTTCATTCTTAATGTTTTACTCTCTTTGTTTATTATTATAAGACGTTTTTTAAGTAGTACATTAAAAAAATATAAGATATTTTAAATCTTTCCAAATGTGATTGATAAAATATTTTAAAAAAATGCTCTTAATGAGGAGTGTAATTAATAATGTTTCAAATTGAGACAACTAATTAAATAAAGATAAATATAAAAATAGTGTACTCCCTTGTCCAAATTATAAAAAACTTTTAAAAAAGATTCGATATCCTAAAATATAAGATATTTTGATAAAAATAAAGTTTTATTAATAATATTTTTTAATATTATCTTTTTCATTATATTCTCTTTATTTAAAACTGTTTTATAAATAGAGTATTAAATGAAATGCATTTTTTATAAAGTTTATTTTTTTAAAAAATGAAGTTATAAAGTATATTTAATGAGTTTTATTAAAATATTGGAATGTGTAATTTTATCTAAAAGCATTTTATAATTGATGGAGGAAGTATAATTTTAAATGTCATTAACTAACTTATTAAAATTATAAATTTTTATGGTAAAAAGGATCAATTAATTAAAAAGAAAAGTTATAATACATAAGGCTCAAAAAACGTAAAGGGGGACGAGGGAATTAAAGAAAGGACTGTCTAGAGTAGCATTATCGGTTATAGAAGAGAGATTTGATATTTTATAAATATCCTGAACTTGGGCTTGCTGAGAGTAATGTTTACAACGAAGGAAATGGAAGAATGTTTTCCTGAAACAAACAACAGAGATTCCTGAGGCATGAAGGGTAACACCAAGCTAAAAATCCCTGACCCATTGAAGAGCAGCTCGAAGACAAAGCAAATTGAAACAACTTGGACCAGTGGTAAAAGATCTTTTAATTTTCCAAAGAAAACTGTGCATGTGAACCGAGTTCAGTGTTAAGACACAGAGATAGAACATGCTCGATCCAGATTTAAATTTCTTCAAGCAAACAAGCCGTTGAGGTGAGACAGAAGAAATTGATGGCATATTTAAAACTAGTGACATAATTCCAGTGATGTAGCGATTGTTGATACCCATATGAGTCTGAGGTCATCGACATACTTCTAAAAGTTGATGACAGTAACCATGAAATTCCTTAATAACCTTACTTGACGACTGAGTCTTACCATTATGAAAAGTAATGTTCCTTTTTTGCCAAATCAAAATAATAATACTTCTTAGTAGAAAATCTAAACCAACAGAATGTAATTATGAAAAGGTGGAAGTGATCCACCAAGAAATCCCAATCTCCTCGATATGCAAGGATTGAATTGATAAAACACCAAGCCAGCAGAGTGTTTTGACATAAGAACATCCACTAAAAAGATGATTCAATGATCATGAGCTCACGTAACCAAAAACACAGTAAGAATGCACACTAAGATGATGATGTCAAAGGACATGTCCAAGGGGTAAAGAAAAAATGAACCTGTTGGAATATTTATATAGATTTACATTAATTAATAAACCCAAACAAATTGATCCTTATAATCTTGTGTGAACCACACAAGTAAGCTCAACGGGCAGAGGTCCAACTCACAACCCAATAGTCGTCAGTTATTTCATATCTTTTAACTGAGTCAGGGATAATAGAACATAATTATATAATTATCTAATAAAGCGGTTATTGATGTGATCTTTATAAGTCAATCAGTCAATGACCATGATACACACGATACATTTTCTTCTACTTTATTATCTCTGCACTCTCTGAAGACTCTGGAATCCAGTGAGTTGTACATCTGTCTACACTCGAGGTGATCAAAATATCTCTAATAAACGATCATGAATTTTTCAGATACGTACATATTACTTTATTCTATCGTATTCAATTATATATGAATTGAGATGTTAGATTTAACAGAACCAACTTCCATATTTTTTTAAAAAAAAAGTTGCTTATATGGTAGATTAATCTTCCACAGGAAAGTCCAAAAAGGATCATTAGAACCTAATCCTCTATCCTGAATGCCATAAAAGTAGCCCTTATTAACAGTACAAGAGCCATCAGTATTACCAGGTCAGATCAATCTATCTGGAGAAGAATAAATTATCAATGAAATTTTTAAAATCTACTTAGCAACATGTAGAGTGTAGACTATAAAGTTGATATAACAACTCCCTATTCCACTTAATAGGTGACCATATCGAAGAGGAATGAACCATAAGAAAACATTTCTAATATTAAGAGTTTGAGTTAAAACAGAATTTGAAAGTTTTCACCAAAGATCATGATCAATAGAAACACTTGAACCTGAACCAAGTTAGCATGATAATTGTTTCAAAATTACATCTCCAGAATTCAAAATGCCTTCCCAAAACCAAGATGTATTGTAAGGTTTCTTGAGCTTGACTCTATTAGAAGAGTCCGTGTACTTGAACTTCAAGGTATTACCGCGTAAGGGGTGCTCTTCATAGGTTAAAATTGTTGTAAACAGCAAATCCAGAGGCGAACAACGAGCTACTAATTGCTCAAGTCGTGTCCGGATGAACACTATCCTTAAGAACTATTCCGATACACCTGGACGGTGGACCGGCAGTCCCCCAGAATTAAACGAGCACTTCCTGCGGCGGAGCAAGGGAACAGAACAGCGAAGACTATAAATGAAAACAGACGAGCAGAAGATCAGAGGAGAGGACGAGAACGCTTGCTCTCTGTTCTGTCCGCACCAATGTCTATTTATAGGCTGAGGAATGAGACACAAACGTTAGGTTATAATTACCGGTTAATGCTTCGGTTATACACACATTAAACAACAAACGTTCATGGATTAATGCTTCAGTTACATGCCTTAAACAGCAGAAACATGCACGTCCATTAATCCGAAAATGTTCAGCGTTCAATCTGGAGCCGTTTGGCAGGCAAAACATTAACACACAGAATTCGGTTTCCAGAAAACTGCCAACGCCTCAAGTTCAACTTGAAAATAGCTAAATCAGAGGTTTTTCGGGTAAGTAAAAATAATTATTTATTTAACCATTCTTTGTAAAAAGACTGCTGATTTCAACTGCGATTGCCCTGAGTTAGCCTGTCTCATGTGCGCGAGGCCACTTCTCCTCCAAGCTCATTTTACTAGCTTACTTCATTCCTTAGTATATATACACTAGAAGATTTCTTCCTTTAGTCAATGTGGGACTTTGACACACACACACTTTTGACACACATGCAACAAAAATCCTCCAAATTTGTTTTTCCAGCAAAGCCATATTCATTTATTAAAAATATAAACTAGTCAAAAAAAAAAAAAACTCGTAATACTATAGAGATTGAGTTTATTTGAGGACGAGGAAGTAATACTTAGTCTGCGCTTCACGTACGGCCCAAAAGATGAGATAGCAAGTGGTGGAGGGAGAGAAGCAGTGTCGTTTTCGTTTTTAGTGGGACGGTGGGCGTAGGTGGAGGAGAAGGGGTGTGGGTAATAATAAAGTTGGAAAATAGACGAGCTCGCTTGACACGAGCTCACAAGGGCTTGAATCTCTCATTTTTTATTTTTTTTTTAAACTCAACCTTTATTCAAAGGATGTGGGTCGAGCCTGAAAATTATATTTAAAAAAAAATTTAAAAATAAAATAAAATTAACTATTATAAATTAATTAAAATGTATTAAAAAAATTAAAATTCTCATAATCTTTTAAAAATTAAACAATACACATTTAAAAGTCTAATAATAAAATTCAAATCTTGATTAAAAAATAATTCATTTATTATAAATATACAAATATAATAATTATAGAAAAATAAAAAATATAAAAAATTTTATATTGTACACTAATATTTATTAAATAATATTAAATTAATTTTAAATAAATTAAAATTAATAATAATATAATGCTTGTAGGATTAAGGTTTCAGATGAGTAGATCCTTAATTTTAAATGAGTATTCCATCCAAAAAAAAATTAATAATAATATAATAGAATTTGAAAGTTGACCTGAACTCAAATTATTTTTTACATAATTTATTAAAGTCAAGCTTTCAAATTCGATTGTTTAAAAAAATTATTTTTAAAACTTAAATTTTTATTTAAATAAGCTTTCTAAGTTCGGCTTCCAAACCTGACATTTATTTTTAACTTTAATAATGCGATAAGAAAGACCAAAACGACAGGGACCATCCACGTATAAATATGAAGTGACGAGTCAACTTTGCAGTCCATAGTACGTGGACACCAGTGTTCCTGCCACAGTGCCACTCATATCCCGTAAGTTCAGTATCTCAGTCCTGAATCAATAAAGTGATTATTATTTGTTAATTATGAACTGATTTATATATCAGGTTTTGTCAAATATACGAGCTTAAAATTTAACCACTCACACAGTTCTTAAAATTTAACTTGCAATAAAATTTTGAGCCTCTTATAGAATCTTGTGAGTTGAAATTATATGAACTTTTTCGGACAAACTTACATAATTTTTTTAAAAAAATTAACAATGATTGATAAAATATTTTCATTTAATTATTATT